CTAGAAAATAAATAATGTTTATATTGAATAAAATGATTCAATATAAATCATTTATTGATAATAAATGATGACAAGTCATTTTATTATTACGGAATTGAATGGTTATTTATCTACAAATATTACCGAGTGAACACTATTTTTTCGAATAAAAAAGATTTGTTTTCATTTTTATAAGTCTTATATTTTATATCTTGTCCAAAGATTGATTAACTTAAATCAATTAATTCAATTCTGTACTGACATAAAAACACTGATTTGGATTGTTTACATTGAAATTTTAGCTAGAGAATCAGTCATTACTTTTAGCAAATACTGCGTTTTACTGCAAAATAGAAGAGTAAATCAGTCGTAAGTCAAAAATTCTTTATATCAGCTTTACTATTAATAACAGGCAAGTCGAAGAAATTTTCGGACGTGGATGTGAAAAGTAAATTCACATCCTCGTCCAAATTTAGTGTGGAAATATCGACTTATACCCTATAATTTCGTTCGATATAGCATTTCACCTGATTAGACATAAAAATTCTAGTACATCTCCATCGTTTTTTGCTTTAGGTTGAATCAGACTTTTTCATTTCTTTGATCAATAATGCTCAAAAGGTTGCCACATTCAAGACTGCAACATAGAGCATACATGAAAATGATTTAAGTTGATTGAGTCGAAGAAAAAAAAAGATTTTCTCACAATTTTCATCAAATTGAATCATGAATCCATCATATTTTAATTTAACACAATGTTTACTCTATGTATTTTAAACATTTTTTTTTCTATACAAAGATATTGTGAAAAGTGTACTTTTTTTTATTGATTGAGAATAAGATATTTAGTTATAAGAGTATGAATCATAATTGAATTCAAACAAAAGATCATACAGAGAATAGAATTACATTAACAACATGTTCAACCAATATGAAAGAGATTTTATAAAATATCATTCTCGTTAAGCGCAAAGACAATAATCTCTTCGTATATGCACTATACTTGCGAGTTTAAGTCAAGGATTCTAGCGCCGGTATTTCTATATTACCGATGGAAAGATACTGCTTCCAACTACAAAATAGTAGAAATTTGGAAGTAGGAATCAGGTGATTCGAGTCGACTACTGACTTCCTTCTTTCCAATTCGTACCATTTTGTGGCTGTACTTCATTCACCTTGGAATACGACATAAACAGCACCATCGAAATGCTTAATCGCATTGAGAAAAGAAAAAATTTCTTAACAATTATACGACAACAAGCAAAGCAATAAAACGTTAAGTTACTACGACATATGTAATAACACTGTCATCAAGAAAAAAAATTTTTTTTTTTCTTGACAAAAGTGAATCACAGTAGAGAATGAAACAACTTTAAAAAAAAAATTTTTGCATATACATCAAAAGTAAACCTAAAATAAGTTACTTGATCTGACTGACAAAGGTCTACATACGGCTGTTTTGTAATTAAAGCTTTTTCGAAATTCATCTAAATCAAACTCTTATTATATTGCTTGAGAGTAACGATTAGTATTGAACTAAATTTTTTTCAAACTGGAAATCGATCCAATTTTTTACGTAGTAAAAACTAAAATCTGAATTTTTCTTTTTGCGTCAAAAAAAATTTCAAAATAATGTCTCCATTTAAAAAAATGCTTGAAATTTTATCGAGAGTTTATTTAGTATAGTACATCTGTTGAACGAAGTACAATAGACTTATGTTTTTCTTCTCTCTTATTCTTTTCTATTTGGTCAACTAATAATCCAATGTACAAAACGAGATATGTATGTGTTGTGTTTTTTTCTTTCTTCGATTGCTCGTTCTTTATCCTTTTTTTTTCTCTTTATTTCTTCTACTTGCTTTCGGTTCGGTTCGTTTCGCCGTCGAACTATAGTATTAACAAATATATCGAGCAAAGTGAATGACGCCGCGGAGAAAAAAAGTCGTGACTCACCTTTCTCTACTTATTGAATTGAGAAGAAAAAAGAAAAACGACGCGGAAAAAAAAAACGGTCCTTTTTTTCTTTTGCTTTCTCTTTGCCAACATTGCCGAACCGATGACGAGCGAGCATACACACAGTCAACATTGATGAGGCATCAACCTTGTCATTCACAGTTGAGCGCCTAGACGACGACAAAAAACATTAGACTATTTTTTTCTTTCGTTTGACTCACTACTGATATCAACCCTTAAACAATATTGAATATCATGTGTTTTAGTCATTGATTACTTTTTTCTCTCTTGAGTTTTCTATCATGCCACGCAGCAGTTTTTTTTTTTCTTTATTTATTTGTTGACATGATGAATGACTCATACAGAGAATAGATTCTGGCACACACATATATATATAAAATCATTCACCAACATCATTTATTCTAGAGTAAAGAAACATAAATCGCAAATATGGCAGAACCATCAACAGCTGATTATATATTTAAAATAGTTTTAACTGGTGATTCCGGTGTTGGAAAATCAAATTTATTATCACGTTTTACTCGTAATGAATTTTCACTTGAAAGTCGTTCAACAATAGGTGTAGAATTTTCTACAAAAGAAGTACAAGTTGATGGAAAGACAATTAAAGTACAAATATGGGATACTGGTAAAATTATAAAATAAATTTTTTTTTTCTATTCAAAAACTAATTTTATTGTTTATCTTTAGCTGGTCAAGAACGATTTATGGCAATAACAAAAGCATACTATCGAAATGCCTTAGGTGCTCTTGTTGTTTTTGATATTCTTAAAGCATCAACATTCCAAAATCTTGATCAATGGTAAAAATATTTCACTTGAAATTTTCAAACATAATGTTTTTTTTTTTGTTTCTTATTTTACTCGAATAGGTATAATGAAGTACGAGCTAATGCGGGTATTGATTGTTGTATTATCTTAGTAGGAAATAAATCAGATCAACGACATATACGTGCTGTTCTGTATGATGATGCTAAAAGTTATGCAGATGCAAGAAATATTCAGTAAGAAAAAAAAGATTTGTTTTTTCTTTTCTTGCTAATAAAAATAATTAAATAAATATTTAAAATTATTTTCAAGGTATGTTGAAACATCAGCATTAGATTCAACAAATGTTGAACAAGCATTTCGAACACTTATTGCTGATATATATCGTCATTGGGCAGCTCGAATGGATTCAATGAAAGATGAAACAAAAGCAAATCAACAACAAAGTTTTTCTCAAACAATTAAACCAGGATATCAAACAACAAAACCTCCAGAAAATACGAATTCATGTTGTGGCAGTTATTGAAAAGAAAATTTCGTTTTTTCTTTTCAATGTACAGTGTGTGTGTGTGTGTGTGTCATTTTCTTTTTTCTTTCTTTCCATTAATGAACACAGGAAAGAATTTCTTATAAATACGCGCGTAATAAATGACTTGTGAAAGTGAGCATTCATTTGTGTGTTTATCTAGTAAAAGAGAGTATCATTGGTTTTGGATACTATTACCTATTGGTCTACTTATTGTTTGTCTTATTTATATATTATCTCGTCCAAATCATACAAGATTATCATCATGTACTTATCAACTAATTACTCCAACAAAAAATGTCATTAGTTTACACCCACAAAAACAACATAACTATACATTTAATCAACATGATAAATATTCAATACCTACACGATCATCATCAGAATTTTTATTTGAACAATCTAAAGACAGAACAAAAGAAATGAACAATAGTTTATTACATGTAGACAATGCAATATATAAGACGAGTGCGTTTTATGATTTAATAGTTTATTATGTGATAACATGAGAAATTTATTGAAATGTACGATTACGTATCAAACGTATAATTTTATTGACAAAAAAGTAAATAATTAGATGAAAGAAAAAAAGAATAATTGGAGCTTGTAGGAAATTTGAAAAAAAAATTAAACAGTTCGATTATGAAAAGGAGAGACACGAAAGAGTTTAATATTGAAATCTTTGAAGGATTTCTAAAGTTCATTTGTTTTTGCCGTCGAATTCTTAGAAAAGTTTTTCTTTTTACGATCTAAATATTAAATGAGTATCTAGATTAAGTTCTTAAGCTAGTAGTATATTTGGCGGATGTTTTTTTTTTGGAAAGGTTACATCTATATTGACAGTATGCTCATAATTTAGAAGAAGTAGTCATTCATAGCTTCTTCGGCAATATAATAATAAGTGACATGAAAAGGTTTAAAACTTTCTCAAACATATCAACTCGCACAATATATTTTCTTGTCTGTCATATTTATTATTAAAAAGTCGACTTAATGAATGAATGAAAAAAAGGTTTATGTAAATAATACTTTTCGAAAAAATCTCTCACGGAGAAATATTATAATGATGATCGAAAAGATTACTTATACTAATATTTCGTGATCATCATATTTACTTCAAACAAATTATAATAACTTTGTCTGAAATCTTAGCCTAAAAACTTTGAGTTCGGAGCTTAGTGATAAAGAGTTACGGCAGTTTTTTTTAGTTACATAGAGCCAAGAATTAATAATTAGTTCTGAAGGTTTTAAAGAAAACGAACGTGTTGTTCTCGAGATATTCCGTTATCGAAAAAAAACAATAACTTACCACTGAAAAGACACAATAGCAAAATTCATTTGAAAGTTTCAGAACTTTTTAATAATTATGTGTTCTATTTATAGATACGATTTCAGGATAAAAGTCTGCATTTTGATATTTTCGGAAATGTCTTGTTCTCATCAGCGAAACGATCATGACTCGTCATCAGCAGGACATGAGTTCAAATTCTTGTATGCTTTTATTAGCTTCAGAGAGATCTGCTCGTAGCCATAATCTTAGACCCTAACGAAATCCGACAGTTGCTGATGCTCCTTCGTTAGTGTCAGAAGAAGATAGATTTACAAATATACTCGACCGATAAATAATAGAAAATATTGCTGCAGTGCGTTAAACATGTTAGCTGATCCATTACGTAGAAAAAAAAACATATGTTAAAGTCAAAAAAATTACCATCTCTTTTATTATTAATACAGCTCGTGAAACAAATGATAATATGAATGCATCAAACGTTCAAGTGTCATCAAAACTATTGAATAATACATCAATAAATAATTCGAATGATGCTTTATCTGACTTAGATCCATATCAATGGAATGAATTACGTACACCTGTACTAGCAAATTATCCTGATATAATCGACGTTGTTGAAGCACGTCGAATAAATAATGAATTAAATCCTCGAATAAAAAATCGTCCATTATTACCCAATGATATTCTTACATTAATTAATAAAGGTTTTGGTGAATCTGATCCATATCCAATAAATATAAATCTTGGTCGAATTTGGTTTTTTCTTGAATATAATCCATATTTAAGACAATTATATTTAACAATAATCAAAGCTCGTAATCTTCGTTCAATAAAAGGTTGTCAACCAACAACATTTGTTCGTGCAGAAATTTTACCGGCATTAAATGTAAATTTTTCGACAGATATTATTAAAGAAAATTCTAATCCAGATTATATGACTGAAACAATATTTAATATAAATCTTTCAGAATTTGCACATAATGTATTGAAATTAACAGTACATGAAGTTGATAAAGATGTTTTTCATATACCTATTGGTACTATCTATTATCCACTTGATCATTTACTTATTGCACAACGTGCTAAAGGACATACTGTATGGAGAAATTTGTTGCCTGGTATGTAAATATGAAGAAAATCTATACGAGGAAACTTTTGCAGATGTCAAATTACTTTTCGAACTAGACAACGTTCATTTGATGAATAACAGGGAAGTCTAGAATAATGGTATGTTTGTCCGAGCCTTCGTTCTCGAGATCAGCTTTTCAACAAAAAGCTGTAGTTCCACTCAGATCACGTGACAAATCAACTTTCCAGTTCTGATTTCAGCCCAATTTGCATGAGTCTAGTTCTTAATAAGATTAGTTAATTGTGAATGCTTTAGCTTTTCTAGTATTTCTTTTCGAGAGATGCAAATACTAATATTCCTCAAATAAATATCGCTTCGGTCGAAAAGCGATTCAACAACTGCAGAAGTTCACTCGTATAGATCTACAAAACAACCAAGCATAATACTGTTATAGACTATGGAGATCCATCAGCTATTGGTCTCATTCAAATTCGAGCTACTGTTTTCTATGATGTTAATGATGAATGTTTAAATATCTATGTTCATTCATTACGTGCAACAGGTATTGTTAAACAAGTTTATCATGTTTATGTCCATGCATCTGTTGCTGTACATGATTTTCCTGTTATACCTGAAGAACATATAGAGTCATCTCAAATTATTAAAAAACCATTTACTCATGGTAAATGTGGTCCAATTGTTTCATTAGAACAATATAATGATACAATTTATGATCAATTATTTCGATTTAATATTTATAAACATGAATTTAATGATATGACTGTTGTTTTAGATGTATATCGTCGTTCGTTAGGTGATGAATTTTTTGATGATATTCTTCTTGGTCGTACTATACTTGTTTCACCAGATATGTTAGCAAAAAATTTAAATAATGAAACATTAGTATCACCAATTGTTGAAGAAGAATCAAAAACAAATGTAAAGAATGAAGAAATTCAACAGAAAAGAAAAGAACCAAAACCTTCCAAAAAACATAAAAAGAGAAAAAAAAACAACGAGAAAAAGAAAATAGTTTCATAAAAAAGGTTGTATTATGAGGAAGAGTCTTCTTCGATTGATATGCAATCATTATTGAATATATGCAAAGTAGTGGAGAAAAGTTTAACAACACCGTATTTTTGATTTTTTTTTTCGATAAGATTAAGCAATTAGTGATAGTCAATAGAGTTTTTTTTTCTATGTAATGCATTTTATAGCAAAATTTCATAGATGACATTTGGTGGTAAGGTTTATAAAAAAAACTAAAGTACGATACTTTTCAGAACCATGAAGGCTATCTTTTAATATTTCCATTTTCGAGAGAATNAATGATGTGGAATAAAACATTTTTGATTATTAGAATTTGATGTTGAGAACATTATACACATTTCAATAAGACCAAATGATGTTTCACCTAAATCAAATTAATTTAAAAAAATATTATTCCACTTTCAATTAAAACTGATATTAAAATCATATAAAGACAATATCATTTATACAAGAGCATTGAAAAGTGATTTTCATATTCGCATAGTTATAAATAGAAAAAAACAACAGGATTTTTCTGAAGAAATTTTATTCAATCAATAGTGTATATATCAAAATATATATTTCTTAGAATTAATAGACTATGGATCATTCATCTAGTTAGAAAATAAGTAATTATCTTAAGTTGTACATTTCTCGTGCAAGTTTTCAACGAAAAAAAGAATTAAAAAATTCCTAAGAAAAATTTATTAATCAAAGTTTATTTATATATAACATTTGAACATATTTTTTAAAGATAAATTAATCTTCGCTGTCTGACTTTCAATATTTTTTACCTTGATTAATAGACAAAATCCATTTTGGTCGTGATATGCTAATGAGAATAAGTAGATCAGCTATACACAATAATATTGCAGAAAATAATACGAGTCGATCTACTGTTGCCATTTATATATTATTCAAGCATGGCCCTTGGAAAAAGGTGACGGAAGCTCGATCTTCATGTGAACCATGAAAGTGTTAATGATATTATTTCATTGGTTCATGATTTGTCTCCGATGAAATAAAAGTCTAGCGACCTCTACCATCGATCAATTATTTTGTTATAGCATAAGCGGTATAGAATTTCCATCAAGTGAAAATGGTTGTAATGATGAAACATGTGATGTTTGACGAAATATTCCAGATAATTGGTAACATCGTGATGATATTCCATTATTGACAACAGCTATCAAACGTCTTATTGATTTTCTCAATCAACTTGGTAATTTAATAATATTTAAATTTATTTTATTTGCTTTTTAATTTGTATGAAGAATCTTGGTGTCGATATCGTTTATCAATATTAAATGAAAAATTAACAGCACGTGAACAACATGTTGACTGTCTTGAAACAAGAGTAAAATCGATTTGCTTTGTTTCTCATTGATATTTTCTTCAGCTACCTAGTCAAACGCAAAAGTTTATTAATGAGTACATACGCAGCAATAGTGCTGTGTGTACATGCATGAATGGTTATGATATGGCATGCGTGGAAATGCATCACTGCGTCAAGTCTTTACGCATTTACATGGTTGAAATTTTGACCATGTGCACATTTCATATTGAAGCTGCATGCAAGGACATAATAGTGCTTCGGTAGGTAGCACACACGTATGCGTGTCATATAATTTTAAAAAATGACCAAAAAATGAAGCACATCTAGTAGACATACATGAACACACAAGAGCTTTCTTTAGAGACCATATTCGAACATACATACTTTGTTTTATAAGACGGCTTCTTCGTTCTTTGATTATCTACCTACATTAGAGATGCAATCCAAATTAAAGAATATNAATTAGTTTTGATATTCATATTCTTGTAGAGCTCTATCGAACCATATAAAAATACCTAGAAAACGATATTTTCCTTCAGACGTTAGAGGCATATTTTATTTTTGCAAAAACGCAACGTGTTAAATGCTGAGTCATCATGAATAAAATGATCATAACTACGACACAATTTCAACCATTTTTTTTTCAGATGATAGCTCTTCTCCTTCTCTACAAAACTGTATATTTCAATCAACTATCTATGTATGTATTCATATAGATAACGTCAATTTACAGAGAGGGGTCGAAACTTATGGACCATCCTTTAGTATCTATCGATATGTTAAACAGACATGAGAAAATATTTTTTCGAACAAGAAAAATGATGGATTACATCATCCTGAATTCCGGATGTGAACATGTCAAAGAAATTTCGACGAGATGATAATTATTGTTATGATTCTACCTATCATAATTTGTACATAATGAAAAACTCAATGAAATCATTAAAACGATATCGAAAATATGCTCACATTAATCTATTTTGTTATATTTATTTAAACAATTGAACGGTATTTTATATGATGTCTTTTGAAATAAGTTATTTGATTGAAAATTTTACATGTTATCAATCTGGAAAAAAATTTATCTGCAAAATTGATAGTAATATCCAATAGTGTTGAGCCAATAATTGTATGTCAACAATGGAATCAATGGCAATGATACGAAAGATCGAACTCGAACCAGCACGCGAATTTGATTAAAGATTTTTCACTTCAAAATTTCGAGCTCATTTTTCTGGATTACTTCTAGTCTCTTGTCAAAGACTTTCGTTCTGTTGTCGAGATCATGTATGGCTACTAGCATTATACAACCGTAAAAATATCTAAATATTAAAAAATCTTTAGATATGAAGTCTAATATAAAAACCGTACTTTATTGTTTACTTTATCTGCTTGTCAATAATAGCTGCTGTTCAGCTGTGTTAAATAATAATTTCAAATAAGAAAAAATCAAACATATCAATTCTTGTAAAGAAATCATATCTTTATTGAAAAAAGTCAATCAAAACAAAGTATAGGATGTTGTTCAAGATTATGTTGCTGTAAGTTACTAGATGCAACATTTTGAAAGAATTCTTCGTTGGTTCGTAGTGATAGTGTATATGAAAAAATAGAATTTGTCACTATTAGAAATTCTGAGAATTATTTGAGTTTTACATTTTATATTTTCATGAGATTGGAATAGAAAAACTGTTTCTCGAAAGAATTAGTTGGTTAAGTGATAAATAAAAACGGACCAGTTTTTTGTCGGTTTTATTAAGAATTCCAATCGGTCGATCTAGTCCAGACGAAAAAAAAACTCCACCACCGATTCAAAGTATTTGTTGAACATTCTCAATAAATAAATTTCCCTCATAACTGTGTTTCCTATCCTTGAAGACTGATTCATTCTTATATCCTTATAATAAATGATCAATTAATAATATAATTCATAGGAAAATTTTTTTCTTTCGAAATACCATACTCTTATATTACCACATTATTATCTCATATAGAATTTTTTTTTTATGCAAAATAATCGAAAACAATCAACTAAATAATTTTACAGAAGAGTTTAATATAACTTGATGCAAATCATCGTTATCAATTAGCTTCATGTTATTTAGAAAAAAAACTTGATGTTGTCTTGTTGAATTAATGCAAATGTTTTTATGTCACTATGTATATTGATAATAAGTATGATTAGTTGTATGTAAAACTAATACGACAAAAAAAAGATTCCTTACTATATAGAATCACTTTTTTTCTCTTTAGGTTAAGTGATATAATGTGCATGTAAAATCGATGACTGAATAAAGAAAAAGAAAAAAAAGAAAAAAAAAACTAGACCATCGTGCCGTATATACAATCAACCGATGTGAATCAACGATGATTCGGTTTTTTATATGTATCTTAATGACTATAAATGTGTTAAAACATATACGATGACTATGCGGTACATTTTTTCAGTTGAATGAATACGCAACGACCGGGATAAAAGGTTATTTTTTCCTTCATTTGTGTTTCTTTCTTTAAAGAGATAGCTATTATCTTGTGATTTTTTAGTTCTTTATTAATCATCTTATTTTTGTTTACTATTACACAGCAACCAGCCATTGACATATTTGAATAGTTTCATTTATCAATTTCTATTTTGACGCAAAATAGTAGTAGTGATATGCAAAGCGAACACTTATTACCACCAACAGATGCAAGTAACAATAACACAATATCAGTGATATCTGCTGTTATTAATGATAATACATTAAATTCCAATAATAATGATAATCATATAAACATTTGTCAACATGATAAATATCCGTCACAATCATCTTTATCTATGACAAATGATTTTTTATACATAAAAGAACATCAATTAGTTAATCCAACTATAAAATCTCGATCTGATTCAGAAGATATCATACTTGAAAATAAAAAAGTTATTAAACGTGAATTACGACGTAAGAAAAAACGCGAAACAACACGAGTATGGAAAGAAAAACAAGATATTATTAGACAAGATTTAGAAAAACAAGTTCAGGAATTAGAATTTAAACAAAATAATTTATTATCACAAGTTGAAAATCTTCAATTATATAAAGAACAACTTGAAATAAAATGTAAACAACTCTATTCAGATTATAAACTATTTGGACGATTAATGTAATTATAACAAAAAAACCTTACACCAAAAAAAAAACCTGTCATAAGACGTACCTATATGTCACGAATATAAATGAAGAAAAAACGTCGTCTATTACTTACAATAGCCGTAATTACTTTGAACGTAATGCTTTTTTTGTTGTTATGAAAAATAAATTGATCTCGATAATAATATTTTGTTCCTTAGTTTAATTTATCGATTTATGGTGTTTTTAAAACCCATTGAGAATTATGTATCTATTTCTAGTGATGATTGGCTTATTTTATATCACCTTTAATATCGTTGTATTCTTCGACATTATATACGCATAAATTGCTCATCAAATTTATTATGAGTTTCAAATAGTCGTCAGTATTGTGTTGTGTGACTATTAAATAAAATTCCATGTTGTTATTTTTTTATTTTTCAAAGAAAATGAAGTCAGATAGATTTAGATCATAGTAATGTGAAGAAATTTAAGAAAGACTTTCAAGGTCAATCCTTTTGTTTTTTTTCACCTAGTTATAAAGTAAAATTTCTCTAATGTCGAACACCACCGAGACCAACTAAAAGTGCTCATTATTGGAAAGTAGTTTTCAATTTCTTTTTTGCAACCGTTAAGTATTTAATCGTCAACAATTTTTTGTTTTTTTTTCAACAATTAAATAATTCAAATTTATTAATCAAAGATAAACTAGCACGTGTTGACATGATTTGATGTTACTAACTGTTAACAGAAAAAACAACAAGATGTTACACTGCTGTTATTTGTCTCATATTGGGTTTTTTATTTTTAAATATCTACGGCTGATCCATTATCTGTTCCCATGTATCTAATGATTGTTTGTCGCAACCCAATACACAATAGATCACTTTTTTTTTTGCGTTCTACTTGTAAGCCATACAGCGCATGTTACTAATGTGATATAGGTTGTTATTACGTAGTGGTCCAGAAATAAACACACACGACTCAAAATAAAAAGGTTCTCATATTTGAGAAACTCATTCCTTATAAAATTTGTTTGGACAGACTATAGACTGTGCAGTTTAAGGAGATGTCTGCATAGAAAAGTTTTACTGTAGCATTAAAGACTTGGCAAAAACAATTTATATTTATTCTTTCATCGCAATACTAAAGTAAAGATTAAATAGAAAAAAAATTAAAAGGGTTATTATCTCAATTTATTTCTTGAAGTCATGCTCTAAAGAACTTTAGTTTCTTACAAATCAATCATTGAGACTTCAGGTTTTGACTAATATAATCTTTTCGAACAGAACGATAATTTTTCATTAGTACTAATATTTAATATAAGGGCTTTATTTAACTTCCATTGAATTAATTGCTAAATGAATACAATTTAGATTTTTTTCTATTAGTTTTTACGTCAAATAAAAATTATTTTTAATCACTACTTGAACAGATAGCATCAAGTCGGTCAAATATGAGTTGTAAAATATCAGTGAATTACGTTTAATTATATGAGATCATAAGAAAAACTATTATGAATAATATAATCTAATATAACGATTAATAAGTTTTATAAACATTTACAATTTTGTTTATAAGTATATAAGAAAATTATTTCTTTATAGATACTTGTATGAGAATTGAATAAAAATATTGAGTGTGCACTTTTTGTTTTCTTTTTAATTAAATTATTTAATTTGCTTGATGCTATTTATATCGCAAAACGAAAAATCCGAAATCCGTATACACTTCGTATCACACATGAAACAATACGAGTATGCTTGTTTGAAACCAATTAAATATTTCACGTTAATCATCACGAAAAATTACCCGAAATTATTGCAACTTGATCGGTAGAATGAAAACTATTTCTGATCAAAAAACAAAAAGAAACTGTTCGTATGAGTCGTACATAATGTATTTCGTGGTGTGCAATCAACTATCATGTTCCAAGAAAATATATATCTTGTTTATAATTACATATCTCAATTGTAGGATCTACATTAAGTTCGTAGAAAAACAATTTTTGAACAAAGGATTGTAATATTCTAAAATGAATTCTGATGAAGTTCATACATTCAGTATGATAGCATTTAAGAGTATTCCCTTCGTTCGTAACCTAACACTTTTGTTTCTTTGGGACCATTGTATAATCGAAAGTAGTGTCTCTACAATGAGCACATTTTGGGATTTAAAAATTGTTTCTTATTCATGAAAAAAAAGCGCAGAAACGACCCTGTTTCTGCAGCCTAGTACGTTCGATCGAGTTAAAACTTTTTTCGCATGTACTCTATAGGGTTTCAAATGGATATTTTTTGTTTCAAAAAAAGTGTTCTAGTGTTTTTTAGGGTACCTTCAACATTATGGTTTTTTTTAATCGAAGAAGAGAAAATAACAATAGACCCACACCAAACGATCTCTATTGCCTGTAAAAGAAATATTTTCAGCTCGATCGAACATAACATCTTGGAATAATGGACAAGCCATTTTTTCCTATGACAATCCTATTATCTCATACCGGGTGAGTCATAATGATTGCAACATTTAGTATTTTGCAAATATCTTAGTAGGGATAAATCATATAATCTTGATTCTTTTTTGAAAAGATGCGCCATGGAAAGCTGTACAAAAGCTATATGAACAACTTTCTATTGCAAAACAGAAAAGTCTTCCAAATATTTAATACGGTGGGACATAGCACTATCATGTGACCTATTTAATTTCAATATGGAAGACATCATCAGAAGAAGACAATAGAGATTTGTTCTTACAATTTTTGTAGAGCTTTCCATGGCGCATCTTTTAAAAAAAGAATCAAGATTATATGATTTATCTCTGCTGAGATATTTGCAAAATGCTAAATGTTGCAATCATTTTGACTCACCCAGTAGAAGACAGAATTCAAGAGCTTTGAATCGATAATAACTTCAGTTCTACTCATCAACATCTATCGGTTCTGAGAATTTCAAAAGTTTCTGATAAGACATTCTTCAGACGGGTTGGCAAGATCGGGAGAGGTACCCTTAAGTGCAAACTTGTTTCATTCTGACCTTTCAGCTCAAGATTGTCGAGAAAAGACTATTCATGTTTAGAATGAAAGGTGTGAGCAGTAATACCGAAAAGGTTGTTCGATTATCTTTTTTTTTTTAGTTGAAAAGTTAATGATCGAATGAAAAAACGCTCGTAATAACTTTATGTCAAGATCTAAGGATGAATCGTTTAATGTTATACATTGCTGACAGCTGAAACAGAGTTCACAATTTTCAATACGATAAAATCATACTTAAGAAAAATCCGTTTGGATGAAAAGAAAACAGTAATGAATACAAATAAATCGATTGGTTGTCAATGAATATTCTTCAAAGGCGGCGTATGAACGATTAATGTTCTTTAATCCAAAATGAACTAAATTATATGTCAAGTAGTTGATCGATTTGTTTTGCCTTGTTCTTATGATCATAAAGTTCAATATGCAGAGTCAAGATTCGACATCATGTAAAAAAAAGAGATTCATCAGAATACGTCATGGAGAAATTCAAAATAGTTTGATTTTTGTTATTGCTTAATACATAGATGATGGGCTTTTCATTTTCAAGAACATGAACATCAAAAGCACGCTAAAAAGGAGAAAAGAAAGCATACTAATAAAATTTATTTTTTAGTTTTCCAATGATGTGAATATTCGAATTGTTTCTTTGATAATAAATTTTTCTCTTTGTATGTTTGAAGAATTAAAAGAAGTTCATAAATTTATGTCAATGACATAGTTTTCATCTGATTTACGCATTAGATAACAAATAAATATCGGAAAAGAGTCATAGTTTGACAATGGATGTAACGAAGACATAGATTAGGGTTGATTTGAGAAGACGTTGAAAAATTAGAACGTCCAGTTCTAAATGCGAAGAATAGAAACGTACCAATCAAATTGAATATAAAAGAGATGTAACGTATCAAAAATTTCAATCTGTAGTAGACATCGATCTTGCAACTTTTTTCGAGTTATAGTTAGATCAAGATCGCCTAGTTACATAGATGAATGCCAGTGCTCGATTTTTTTTTAAAGAAAATAACTGAAAATGAGCAACGTTTCAAAAAGTCTACTGAATTTTTCGATATATTATTGACAAAAATCTCTAGAAATATTTTATTCCGATTTCCAATATAAAATAAATTCTCTTAGAATTAACAAAATGGAAATAAGAAGATCGACTGAGGCGCACGATAATGAGCATGGAATGACGATAAGTGTATGATATTTACAGCCAGGATCAAATGAACGGTGATAAGTGTGAAGTGAATAAGAAAATCTTTACTTATGGTCTTATTTTCATCAATCAGTGTTCTTTCGCTCAATACATTGATGATAAAAAAACAGATTTGAATACAATAGCATTGATCTTGTATAGAACATTTTATTTTACCCATGTGATAACTACCGAGAAACTATCGCCGATAGATCACTGGTGTGATGTGCGCTATACCAGCTTTTCTTGAAAGTATTGTATCAAAACAAATCAATATTTTTTTAAAGTTTGGTTCAACTGACAGAATTGAGTCGTTTTTTAGGTACCTTCATATTGTTGATACGTCTGAGCCACTTGTGCTAGCCACAGAGCTCAAATAGGTCCTGCTTATGAGATCAATTTTTATTATCGATCCTGCCGCAAAAAAACTTATTAGTAAAATGTATTCTGCAATAGTTTTGTTCTCGATTAATTGGAGTTTTTTCTAATAAACAATTCAAATTTGGATAGAAAACACTCTGAAATAGTTTATAGTTGAAACCGAAAGTCGTAAACCATGATATACCGATGGTAGTGCAAATAAATGTGCGACATAGTTAAGTAATTAGTTCGTTAGCACGTGAAATGGTTATCAAGGGTGTTACCTATAAAACATGAATGGATATTACTGCCTCCATTATTTGTTTGAAAATTACAGTGAATATAGAAACGATACCATAAAAATTAATATAAGCGTATGTGTTCCTTATATTTATTCGTATATCTCGCTCTAACTGACTGAGTTGGTAATTATTTGATTTTGTAAAGAACTAATTAATTAAAATGTTCTAAACCGAATTAATCATATTTCATACAGATCTGTTTTCGATCATGACTTTTTCAAGCTTGATGCACTGCATGCAATATGATGGATAATAACACTAGCATTGGTCCATGCTGCTAAAGAAGAGCTCGTTAGTTTGAACTCCGATTTGACCTAAGATAGCAAGTGAACCACCGATGAAATATGTGACGATACCATTATTTATTATCTATGCAAGAAAGATTTTATTTCTGGTATGACATTAAATGGGAACTAAAGTTGATTAAGTATGATTAAATTCGTCAATTCGTTTGTCAAGCATGGCCAGTGTTGAATATGACACGAAAGTATCCTAAGTTTAATGAAAGATAAATTTTAATCAACGTTGATGTTGATAAAAGAACTTCTATTCTAACGTTTCTTTTGTGAGAGTACTCATAAGAGATGCAAATAAATTGTAGTACTAATAATCAAACTGAATATAAATCTACAAGATGTTGTTTCTTGATCGTGATCTAGAAAAGAACTGATGTACATAAGACTAGAAACCGTCCTCTTGATTTATTATTATTGATAGAAGATGATGTATTAAGTTTAGCCAATCAATTATAGAAAAAATATAACTATATTAGTAAAAAAAGCGAAAAATTGATTTTTTTTTTTTTTGTAATAAAGCTATTTGCTGCTGTTTATTTATTGTCCGCTGCCATTTCGTATTCTTTTCTCAGCGCTTCCTCCTGAAACAATTGATATTAGTAAATGAAACGAAGTAGAATATAATAAACTGACCTCTTCTGGTGAAAAGTCATTTGGAATATGAAATGTTTCTCGAATCTGTTCAGTAGTTTTGCCATTCATCATATCAGCTATTGTTTTGCATATAATATCAATTAATTTTGAGATATCTAAATAATTTGCTGCCTGAAAAACATGAAAGATAGAAAAATATAAAATAAACGAAAGAAAAAAAAACAAACTAAAAGAAGTTGAAATAAACTGTTTTGATCAATTTTAACAAAATCTTGATCCCATTTCGATATTTCAATCTTTCTTCTTTCACCATAATCATCATCGTCGTCGAATGATGGTACATCGTCTTTGTGATGAGTCAACCATTCAATAATCTAGATTTATAATTAAAAAAAAGTTGTGTCCATTTTCATGAATAGTAGAGTTCTATAAGCATGTGAAAAAGCTAAGTGAAAGAGAACTATATGAAAGAATTCAGTGAAATAATGCTGTGAGGAATGTCTTGATTTTTATCAAAAATAAGACAGAAAAATGAGAAATGATGATGAAGGCGATAGTATGAAGTAGATATAATATTCTCACATTCATACACACTGTCTCACTAGAAGATGTATTTCGAAGGTTACCACAAAGCAAGATTTCGGCTTGATATTACAAATCTTGAAAACTCTACTGAAAGAAAAACAGGTTTCTTATGATGTAGAAGTATTACTTTAAAAAAGAAGTTTTTGTTGAATAGGTTCTCTAATCAAAATTTAGTCGATACTTTATTCTTTGTGTCTATCAGCATTTTCATTCTTTTGTTCTCAATATTTTTCAAACATAATAATTTTATTCAAACTATCGTATGGAAAATATGACTCCATGAAAAGGACCTAGTTTCATCATAGTCTTTATAACAGTTTTTTATTCATTCATTTTTTTATTGATATGTTAAAAGTCATCAATTTTTTTCACTTTCTAAGATAGGTTGAAAACATTTCTTACTTTCTTCAAATTAGCCGAATCTACATTTGGTAATGGAATGATCGTTCCTTCTTCCGTACCACAATCTTGAAAGAAGAAAAATTGAAAACATAAATCTGAAAGAGAATTTCTTACTTTCCAAGACATCCTTAATTGTTTTTGACTGTTCGACGATATCAATATTGACATCAAATTTTTCTTTATCATTTGATTGTAATGTTATTTGACGGCTACTCATTATAATATAATACTAACTTTGTTTTTGTAATTCAATATAATAATTAAAGAATTAATCTAAAAAGATATTTTTTTGCATTTAGTTTTTCTTTCACAAATAAGTGTAGAAGAATTTTTTTTTCATTGTTTTCTGTTGAATCAATCGAATGTTGAGAAGTAATTCTCCAATTTCAGACGCAATATTCGAGAGTTTTGGTCATATTTTAGCAGACTACTTTCAGGGGTAATCAATAACAAAAACACTAAATTTGACGAAAAAACTTCACTTGTAGCTTATCTTGTGTATCATCTCGTATTGATAATTTTCTTAAGAGCCTTTTAAAATTTTATCAACAAATGATATTGTTCCGATTAAAATATAGAAAAAAATCTCATTAGTTTAGGTTCTTGGTATTTTTCAATATTCTGATTATAACACTGTCATTGGCTGATGTTTAGGTACTGTTTCCAGTTTTCACTCTTGATAATATTTGGTCGTTTTTCGACTTCTCTCATTTACAACAAATACTTTCAAATTTAATTTAAATATAATCTAACTTGAAGAAGAATTCAAAATTTGACGGTTTGCGAAATCTGTGATAAAACCGGAAGTGAAAGCTCGCAAAGATGGAATTCTAGTCTTGTAACATGTCCAATTTCAAGGTATTTACGCAATACATACAATTATCTATTTGATTTCAATCTTAATNATAGGTTCATGTGCCCCGCTTTGCTCTTTCGAATGGTGAAAACCGCAGGTCGCTTTGACTTTTTGTTCGAAAGTTATAAGCTTTTTTTCCACCGGTCTTCTTTTAAAATTCCGATAGTAGTTCATATTATTTCAAGTTTTCTGTTAATCACATTGTTTATTTTATGGTTTACCAAGAATTAACTTTGGTCCTTATATCTGTGATCCTTGACTTCTCATTTATACCTGCATTTATGCTATAGTACTGATCATTATATTGTTCTTTATTTTAAACCATATATGGTCCTTGTGATATTCTATTATGTACTTCATTTATTATTGACATTACCATGTTGAAGGTGCTAACCTGTTCACATTATCAAAAATTATTTCAACAAGAAGTTCAACGTTTATCTGTTATTGATATTGATACCTCTTATCATTCTGAATTCTCTGTTAATTCTATTGTTTATCGTCCTATATTCTCATCTATCATGGAAAAACAAATTTTGCACACATTAGCTAAAGAACAAAACTCTTGCTAAATTTGGTGGTGCTCGTCATGAAGATGTTGTGAAATGGTTATCAGATGTTGAAGAAATATTTAATCGAGCACAATTTCAACTATCGAATAAGTATTTAGCTGTACAATCATATTTAATTGATTCGGCTGCAAAATGGTTTAGATATAACAAGGCTACTATTATTGATTGGTCCACATTTAAAATTGAACTTGTTAAAGCTTATCAACCATCACTTCTCATCAAAGATTATTGAAGATGGAACAACGATTACAATTACCTGATGAATCTATTATGGACTATTATTATGAAAAAATTCATTTATGTTCACAAGCTGATTCAAATATGAGTTCGTCAATGATAATTCATTATTTAACCAAAGGACTAAAACAATCATTAGTTGCTCATGTTATTCGTCGACATCCATCTACACCTGCTGAGTTTCTTGCTGTTGCACAAGACGAAGAAAAGATACAAATTACATTAAACGGTTTATCACGTGCTTCAACAACTCCAGTTGATAATTATTTAAATTATGATGATTCTATTGATGAAATGGTTACACTTGTAAAAAGATCAACTAATATAAATGCACATTTATCTAATCAACAACAACATACATCATTTCCACCACCACTTATGAATTCAACATCTGTTCCCAACTACACGTCATCTTCCAATCGTCGTTATTATCATCAATATCCTTCTTCATCATTTGCTTCACGTCAATGTTATGAATGTTATCAATTTGGACATATTGCCAGATATTGTCCCAACCGAAAAAACATTTAAGGAGGTATCGAGATGGTGGTACCTCCAGGAGAAAGAAAAAATCATCATCTCCTTTATTCATCATCAATTGCAGTTTCTGTTAATAATATCATCACCAAGGTGTTAGTTGATACAAGAGCAGCTATATCCCTTATACATGAAACAGCATTACAACCTATGCAACATAAACCAATTGATCCATGTTTGTTAAAAGAAGTTCATACAGCTAATAGTGGATTTATATCTCTTATTGGATTAGTACATCTTAATGTTCAAGTTAATCATTTTACTACAGATGTTGATGCATATGTTACTCGTGATCTTGTTTGTCCAATGATATTAGGAAGAGATTGGGTCCAAATGAATCATGTTAATATTAGTTTTTCCACCAATCGTATTTACCTTCATGATGGTATTACTTCGGTTCCCTTATTACCTATTCCTCGTCATGAACAATTAATCATGTCTTTACAACAGGCTGTTACTATTCCAACATTTCATGAAAAATTTATTTGTGGGTATGTACCAATTAAAACATCAAATGATGTACTTTTTACATCGAATTTAGCATTACAACATACTAAACTCGTCCTCATTCCTCATGCTATTCTGTATATTCGTGATTATCATGGTATTATTTCAATCAGGAATAATATACATCGTCCAAAAATTATTCCAAGAAATACTTCACTCGGACTTATTTCTCAATCAACTGAACAATTTCACGTCAATGTTATTCACCAACGGACCTTGAACTATCGTAGTTTTTCTTCTATTCCTTCATCTTTATTTTCATGTCCTTATTGTTCTATTAGATTTTGTAGTGAAACTGAACTGTATCAACACTTTCTCACTTGTTGTAATAAACATTTATTACACGAAAATAAAACAATTGAAGCATTAGTCGAGCATATCAACGATCCTACTCGACGTATGACGGCTTGTCCAAGCGTAACGCGATGACGTTTTGGCTGCAGTTTTATTAACTTTTCTCAGCAATGAGGTTGTCTAGAAGACTCGTCCTTTCGGTGGAAGATGTACCTCTGTCTCCCCCACAACCTCTGAAAATATGAGCTCGTTTGAAAGAGTCGTATGAAAATTATAGCAAAAATAGATGGCGTAACGCGATGACGAACAAGGGACAAAAAGTTGAGAGTGACATGATTGCTGTTTATTTTCCTGCGAATTTTCTGTTGTATTAAAAGGAAATTTCTATAGGCGTTTTGTAGCCGACAGTTTGAGGTATCCAACAGATAAAAAAGATTTTCAAACAGACTTTTTATTTTGAAGAGGGATCGGTTTCATTAATGTAACGCGATGACGCTTATTTTTTTAATCAAGTTTTTCGCTTTACTTGCTCTTGTTAGAAATGTAGATCTGTAAAGACAAAAGAATATTTTACTTGAACCTATATCATAAAAGAGTGTTAAATATTTGATTTATAAATAAGTTCGACATAGAAAAAATAACAAAAAACGAATTAAATACATCAATATAATANTTATTTTGAAGAGGGATCGGTTTCATTAATGTAACGCGATGACGCTTATTTTTTTAATCAAGTTTTTCGCTTTACTTGCTCTTGTTAGAAATGTAGATCTGTAAAGACAAAAGAATATTTTACTTGAACCTATATCATAAAAGAGTGTTAAATATTTGATTTATAAATAAGTTCGACATAGAAAAAATAACAAAAAACGAATTAAATACATCAATATAATAACGGATATGTGGATACAGTAAAAAATTTAAAAAATTTCAACACATACATAAAACGTTATGAATATGAGATAATACAAAATGAGAGCATAAAATACAAAGTAACTATTCTATATATACAACAATCTTATTTGCGTTACATTGATGTTGATAAGGTATAGGTTTACTATGTCAAATAATGTGACACTTAATCAAATGAAAGGCGATATAATTATATATACAATTTGTTCTAATTTAAAAATTGATAGGTTTTTTTTGTTGAACTATTCGAATAATATTTATATTATTTTGAAGTACTTTGACTGAATGAATTTTTTTTGTTTCTGGTACTGTCTTTATTGATTGGAAAAATTTTTCCATTTTTGCCTTTGAATTTTCAATATGAATATCTTCTAATTCTGTAACATTGATAGTGTCTGTTTTGGATTGAGCAATCTTTACAAATTGAGCTGCTGAACTACATTGTTGTCCACTAAGTATTGCTCTATAGACAAGACGTTTAATTGTACCTCCCAACCCATCAACCACCCCCTTACCATAGGAGGTGGCGAAGTAATTCCAAGTTAATTCAATCTAAACAATTTAAAATTACATAGTTAGAACTTGATAAAAACTATGATTAAAATATTTACTCCAAAATCATCAGCTAAACGACAAATATTTCTCATTAGGAATTTTTGTTTGAACTGTTGGCTTGCACCATCGGAAAATATATATATTAATTTGTTTCAACTCTTGTAATTGTTGTTTCAATTTTTGAAATAAGTCTTCCAATGCCGTACTCACACAATATTTGTCGTGTGAAAGATTATTTAATACATAAACAAATGGATAACCATTACTAGCACACCAAACATAACACGTGATTAACGAAACGACATTCTTCGAGTAATACGAATTTTGTACAGAATCTTGAATATCTAATCTAAATTTTCACTAAAATCAATCTGTAAACAAATATTTTCATTATTTGAAATTTTTTTCATTTTTTCAAAATATTCCGATTGTTGACGTTTAATAAAAACATGAGCTAAAAATTTATTTACTTTTGATTTTAAAACTTCTATACATTCACCAATTGTACCATTAAATTCAATCTTTTTAGAATATCCATCTTTTAAAACCCATTGATACCAATTAACTGATTGTATAAAATTAGTAACATGTTTTATTATTTTGTTTTCGAAGTTATTTGCACATAAAGAACATTGACTAAACATACATTCTTCATTTGTCTCGCAACAAACAAGTGTTGATAAAAATGCTTGTAGTGAATGTAAACCAGGA